ACATTTGCATCCTACCCCAACCCCTCCCCGAACGCACAAACACAAACTTAATTAACCCTGTTTCTCTTCTCTTTCTGTCTCTCTCTCTCTCTCTCTCTTTCTCTCTCTCTCTCTCTCTGTCTGTCTCTCTCTCTCTCTCTCTCTGTCTCTCTCTTTCCAGTCTCTGTCTGTCTCTCCCACACACACACGCACACAAACACACACACACACATACGCACACAAACGTACAAAGTGTGAGTTTGTGTGTGTGTTTGTCTGTCTGTCTTTCCCTTACATACTTTTTCATCCATACACACACATACAGTCTCTCTCTCTCTCTCTCTCTCTCTCTCTCTCTCTCTCTCTCTCTCTCTCTTTCTCTCTCTGTCTCTCTTCATCTCCCTCTCTCCTCTCTCACTCACTCTCTGTCTCTCCGCACATCTGTACAATCTTTTTTATATGTCTAGATTTTACTCTTTTCTCTTCTCGGTGACTGTGTTCCTCTTTTACCGGTAGTAAAGGCCAATTAATGGTGATGGGACGTAAAGCTCTTACTACGGACACTAGAGGTACAGTGTTCGAGTCTGCTCTTCAACGTTTGTGTGTATAACTCTCTCTCTCTCTCTCTCTCTCTCTCTCTCTCTCTCTCTCTCTCTCTCTCTCTCTCTCTCTCTCTCCCCTCTCCTCCCACCTGTATCTGATCTGTGGGGTATTGGTTGTGGTTGGAAATCACACTAACGTATCTCTAGGCCTCGTAATAAAACTCAACAAAACAACACAAAAGCTGCACTAGCCTACGTTCTCTTCAAAGAAACATTTCCATCCTCACACACCCCGACATCGCTGTTTCATAATGGATCTATGCTGCCCCAGCTCAAGTCCGCCGATGCTGCCTTGCGGAATACACAAGACTTGTACAACAAAGACAAAGAGAAGCCTGTTCCAAATTCTCCTACAAGGTGTAGATGAGGGGCGAAGGGTAGGGTCGGGTGTGTGTGTGTTGGCATGGCACAGTATGACAAAGCGTACCGGTGCAATGATCCCAGTTTCGGAGCAAACTTCTCGCTTTGGCGTTCTTTCTCTCAGCTACCATCGCTCTTAACTTGTAGGAATACAAATGCTATCTATTATTATTACACATAATATTATAATACTTTATACATATAATATGAATTAATAACGTCGCACAGTTAAGCGATAGGCTAAGAAGGGCAATGTTTTATAGATTTTCTGAAACTTTGAAGATGGTACATGAGTAACATTTTACTCCGTCGATTTTAATTTTAATTTTTTTTCTCTCAAATTTGTGTGCTCCACAACACACCCACCCACCCCCCTTTTGTGACTATTTCTAAAAGTAAACAAAACAAAAACATGGGGGACGATGGGGGCCAAAATAAGAAGTAAAGACAAAATCACCAACTTTCCTTTAGAAACTAGACAAAATCAGCAACTTTCCTTTAGAAACTAGACAAAATCACCAACTTTCCTTTAGAAACTAGACAATATCAGCAACTTTCCTTTAGAAACTAGACAAAATCACCAACTTTCCTTTAGAAACTAGACAATATCAGCAACTACATATGAAAACAACACAAACAATTAACAGTCTGGAATATTTCATCCCTAGGCCCCTTTCTTACGAATGGGCTTGAATTTGCACGCTGAACAGCAAAATCATTTCCAATAAAAGACAAAAGTAGCCGATCTATCCGTGATAGCCTTTACACGCACTCCCAACAACAGTAAACTCTGGTTTTGAGCGCTGTTGAATGAGCAGATTTTTGCACGGTGAGTGAGAGCCAGAGCGAGCGAGTGCCAGAGTGAGTGCCCTGTAGGAAAATCTGGGAATCGTTCGTGCATAATTTCACTCTCACTACGCACACGCAAAAGCAGCGACCACTTCGTTACTCACGCACATAAGTGCCAGACTAGCCAACTCACTGCTCACCTTGATCACCACAATGGCCGACACCCAGGCTGCCCCCGTGGAAGAAACAGCTCCAGAAGTGGAGAAGAAGACAGAAGAAGAGCCCGAAGAACCAGAATCTGATGAGTGGAAGGCTGAGAAATACCGCAACAAAGTGGTCGAACGAATGTAAGTGAGCGGCACAGTTCGCCGGTATGTGTACGTGTGGAAAATGCTGACTATGACATTGACTCATTGACTATTTTTAGTTGTTGTATTCTTCACTACACTGTAGTACTGTAGGCTACTGTAGGCTACAGCACAGTAGGATCAGAAGTTTGCTTTGACTCTGAGGCTGGGTTTTCCTCGATAGGCCAATACATCTAGATATTGTATTATATTAGTCTATCTTTTGCTTTGCATGTCTTTTTACGTGGTTTTCTGACTCATGTATGTGTGTGTTACTTATAGCCAGTTGCTATACATTTTATTACTACTTAAAAATACTTTTCAATATCTGCCATCCTCTTTCTTCTCAGCCTTCGTCTTTGATTGGGCCAAACTTGGGCCAAACGCTTTAGTAAACTAAACTGTAGGCTAACAACAACAATATGTTAATGATCAAACTCAGAAGTTCTGTTACGGATTTTGGTGTATGTTGAGACATTTTTAATTTTCATGCGAAGTATTTTTGTGTGTGTTTACCTCTCTGTGTGTGTGTGTGTGTGTGGTGAGTGAGTGAGTGAGTGTGTGTGTGTGTGTGTGTGTGTGTGTGTGTGTGTTTGTGTGAGTGAGTGTGTGGGTGAGTGAAAGTGTGTGTGTACAATGTATGTG